TATTAAATAGGCGAAATACATAAACGACCCCTTTAAGTTGTCCACAAGGATCATTTGAACACCTTCATTTTCCAATTGACCAACTAGACACTTTTACTTGCCAGAAGTGTATCTTTTTAACACCTTCATTCAACAGATCACATGCATGAAATGCAATCGCTGGTTACGTGGCAAATGAACCAATAAGAAATTAACATGTGTAACTTAGAATTAAAAATTACAATCAATAATTAAAACAAAGAAATTCATTAAATTAAAGAATAAAAATAAAAAGCAAAACCCAAAATCACCTTCCATCCAAATAAACCATCGTCTCTCCAAACGAAGTCTTCCCCCTTTCCCGTCCCATTTTCCATTTTCCAAACCACCGCCCTTCCCCATTCCTTCTCCACCAATTTCTTTGACACACATCCCTTCATTATTTTAACCATTTTTTTTCAGAACTTAAATACTAAAATTATTTCACAAAATTCATACTTATAAATATAAAAAAAAATAGAGAATAATCAAGTGAAGAAGCCTCCAAGGGTGATTGATCTAGCTAGACGGAAAAGCTCATCTCCAGCGAGCTTCCTCTGTTTTTCTCATTTTACCACGTCTGAGAGAACTCTTGAACTTATCAATTTGTTTAATTGTTTTGGGGGAGTTTAAGTGAAGATGTCACCGATTGGACTCAATCGTTGCCACCTTCGCCGGGCAAATTTGAGGGAATCGACTCCATTAAAATCTTCAGTCTTTCTCTCTTTATCATCTTCTTGATGCTGAATTTGGTTTATATCACTGTTTTTATTTTGTTATTTTTTGTGTAAATTTCTCCTTAAATAGTTTTCTAGTCGATTCAAGCAATTGGTTCTTGTTTTTGTATTTATGTTGGACGTAAGGTGTTATCGCCAGTGGTTGAAGGGGTTGTTGGTATTTATTTGGTGGAGATAAAGATGATGGTGTGATGGGGATGACGGTGATAGGGCTATTGGTGTTTATGTGGTGGCAACTTATCAGTGAGAAGAATTATAGAAAAGGGGTGATTTAGATAAAGCTGTAGTGGTATAATTTTTTAGGTATTTGATTAAGGCTACCATTGATGGTGGTCAATAATGGAGGTGAAGAGACCAAGATGTCGGCTATGAAGTAGGAGAGAGACTAAGAGAAAAATATGTCTTTTTCTGTCAAAGAAAAAGAAAATTAGGTTGAAAAAATAACTTCACGCGCTCAAAATCTAGCTATCAGAAACGCATATACCACATCAGCCACAAAGGTTCGGAAGATACACTTCTGGCAAGTAAAAGTGTCTAGTTGGTCAATTGGAAAGTGAAGGTGTTCAAATGATCGTTGGGGACAACTTAAAAGAGCCGTTTATATATTTCACTTATTAAATAGGAAGAGTAGGAGAGTAGGTAATGTAGTACACTATGATCATTCTCCTATAGTACCACTTCTCCGTAAAAAGACCAAAGAGGAGATAATATATGGCCTATCGAAGTAGCAATCGACCCTTTCTATTGCTAATTAAGGCCCTTTTCTTTAGGTAAGAATCCCTCGATGATAAGGAGAACAATACGTAGTACCCTTCTTCTTATCATGTGATTTACTGTTGAAAAAGCATTTATTCCAGTCCAGATAATTAAAGGAAATTCAATTTTGTAAATATATGTGGAGTTATCTTGATACATCTCTATATAGTACCTCCTTCTTTTGTCTTCTCTTGGTACGGATAATATTATGGACTTTATGCAACAGCATGCTTATAGGATATAGGATATAACGGCTTTCATTTCCAAATCAATACTTAGATTCCATTATGTATTATGGGGTTAAAAAGAATTTAATTAAAATATTGATTATATCCTTTTTAGCTTGAGAAGATATCTACGTTAAAGGGGAACCGTGGAATAACGGTAAGTTGCATTCGTGTGATCTATAGGTCACGAGTTCGAGATGTGAAAGCAACCAATAATGTTTGCATTAGGGTAGTCAGTCTACATCACACCCTTTGGAGTGCGGCTCTTCCCCGAACCCTAGGTAAACACAAGATGCCTTGTGCACGGATCTGCCCAAAAGATATATACGCACAATTTTTTCACTTTTAAAACCAATAGGTTAAGACATAAAAAGGATCCTTTTGTCAATCACTACAGTATGTAGTCGTGCCCATTCTCTCATATTAGTTCTACAAAGCCCGTGCTGAGCCCGAGCCCAAAATCAAGGCAATAAAGTTATTATTATTATTATTATTATTATTAT